ATTTTCCGAGATATTTGCAAAAAACCAAACCCCCTTTTTTTACTAAATTGTTATAACTTTTGCAATTTTTTCGAGCCCCTCTTGAAATTTTTCAAAAAGTTGTTAGAGGTCATTCCGAATCAAACGAGGCCTGGATCATAATTTTCCAAAAAAGTTCCATAAAAAGGATCTTGTGACCCAAACGATTACATCCCGAGGTGATAAATACATAGGTTCAAAATAATTAGTTTGTCGCCCTTATTAAAGAAAGATAAATTCGATGCATTGGGTTAATCAGATCTAGAGTAAACTCTCTGAAACCTATAGAATCGTGCATAGTCAATATTCGATTGATCCCAACATAAGCGGTCCTTCGATTCAGTATCCCCAGCGTATTACACGTAAAAATTGTAGACATTGTCAGTCCCTGATTCACAAGTTTTTACTTTTTTTAATTATCATAAAACACTAGAAATAACAAAATGCAAATGATTTCATAAATTTAAGATTCATTCGGAGATTATTCAAGTTGGGGAAATACAGATGGAATGTGTTGACTGACAGATTCGAATTATCTGGTGGTTGACAATGTTTCGTGGTGTATTTCATCAATTCGGATTGATGAAATACGAATTATCTGGAATCATTCGAAACTCCATTTGATAATCAGACATAAAATCTAACAAACGATTAGCAGTGTTGAATAATTTTACAAAAATAAGAATGTACATTTGTGAATATCAGTACTACTTCATTTGTCCTGAAGGGGATAGTAAATAATATATCAACATTAATCTGACTCATTTTATGTCTACATTTTTCACCTCCAGTAATAGAACTAAATATGTACTAATCAGCACGGAACGAGAAGGTAATAGAAAAATTACTACTACATTTTTGAAACTAGAAACCATTCACTTCTCGATGTTGATTGAATTTCAAATAAACATTGTGTCACTTAAATTTTCTAACAACTTAAAATTATAAAATTATACGGAGTGTGGATAAAGTTAGAAATAAATTGAATCCGTGAATAAATGCCTAACTTTGGAAATAAATCAGTATTCAGATTTTTAAACAGACAGATTCGTTTTTCATTATCTTTATGATGAAATGAATTTTCAGCAACTATTGGGGCTAATCTAAGAGAAGAAGTTATAAGATCCATTTTATCACAGATGGATAATCTGAAAACTTTCAATATTAATTGAAGTTATAGAACACTTTCATCTTATATATGGTAAAATAACTCATCTACAGAACTAAGAAAACTACAAGTTATCCTACGGAATTAATAAAATAATATTGTGTAAACTTGTGTCACTCTACTCCTCTAGAGATTGAAGTAACTTCTTCTAATTTCTAATTTCGTGTACAATTACCGTAAATGTTTAGCCACGAAAAAAATTCTAACAATAAATATTATATCGTTTATGTTACCCGTTAATAATGTGAAACAACTACAAAAATTACGATAAGACTGGTGAATATACTTTTTTTCAGGGTTCAACCCTCTATATACTTATATGGTCCAGGAGGTCATGGTCAACCAATTCTCATCAATCCGGGATCTCCACCTGGCAATTTCCTGGTCCCGCAACCATATCCTGGCCCAAACGTCAGGGATACTCCCCAACAAAGACCATTCTTTGTTGGTGGATACCCGAACCCAAAACCAGCTCACATTCCACCTATAGAAAAAGATGCCGAGGAGATTCCTACAAATCCAGCCAAGATTCCTCCATTGGAGTCTACTCCAAAAGGCAAGTCAATTACTCAATTTATTAATAATGTCATTCAGTTCAAATGCAAAACTCATTCGAAAACGATTGAAACGTCCCATATCGTCAGTTCTAACAAGAGTTCCTACGGGAGTAAAAACCATGTTACCAAGGAGAAGCATACGAACTGAAAAGGTGTTTCGTCAGGGGTGGGCCTACAGTTGGTTTATAATATCTATAACAAAATAGTGTTTCTAAGTTTATGAAAAGCTGTTGTTATTATTAAGTTGTTTCATAAGTTTCGTCTCTTTTAATGTCATGTGTTTTTGTAGCTCCATATCGCAAAGAATATTTATTCTACTGTGTCGTGGTATATACTGTTGGTTAGATAATTTTGTAATCTACATTGGTGCTTTTTATTTTTTTCCAAATTCCAATTGTTTGTCTATTTTCAGCTTATGACAATATGGTATTATTAAGTTGTTTCAAAAGTTTCGTCTCTTTTAATGTCATGTGTTTTTGTAGCTCCATATCTCAAATAATATTTATTCTACTGTGTCGTGGTATATACTGTTGGTTAGATAATTTTGTAATCTACATTGGTGCTTTTTATTTTTTTCCAAATTTCAATTGTTTGTCTATTTTCAGCTTATGACAATATGGTATCATTGAGCGATTTTGAGACAATTTTTCTTTGATAATTCAAATTGAACCTGTTGAAACAGGCCGAAACATTAATCAGACGTTTGGCAATGTCTGACGCACTGTTTGATGTTGGTATGCGAAATTTCCTTCCGGAAATTTCAGTCTCGAAAATGAGCCTTGAAATGGTCGACCTACAGTAATCCAGGACGCGGATTTGAGGACACTGATGGATACTGACTCATCACAAACGGTGTGTGGTATGGTGGAACAACTGGGCGACAGCTCCCGTTTGGTTTTTGGATCATCTACGACAACAGGAGACATTCAGGGTAGTGGATGTACACCGATGTTCCACCCAGGCAGTTCCCAAACGCTAAAACCCACCAAAAAGAGACCAGGGTTACTGTATGGTGGTTATCGGCTGATGCGATTCACTATAACTTTCGACAACCGGGCTAAAACATCACAGTAGAGTCCTATCGTGAGCAAAACGACGAAATGTACGGAAAATTATGTCGGCGTCGAAGTTTTGCCTCATCCACCTTACTTCTCAGATCTCTCGCCAATCGACTACCATCTTTTCGAGCACTTCAATAACTTTCTCACCGGTAGAACTTTCGCCAATCAGGACCAGGAAAAAACGGGTTTCGTCGACTTCATCGAATCCTGAGCACACATTTTTTATGCTGGCAAAATTAATCTACTTGTGTTACGTAGGCAAAACTAACATTCTCGTTGAGTGATTGTGTCCGTTCGTCCGTTTTCTTTAACATCCATACCTCCGATCAATATAGGACACGTTATACTATACTTTGAAGGAAGATATCTAACAACCGATGTTAATAAAACCAACGTTAACGCCTATGTAAACACCATTTTCGTTCAGTCGGTTTAAAAACGATGATTTTTGGAAGGAGAATTACGTTTTAAAACCGGCTGGGGATTGAAAAGTGCCAAACATATCCAACACGTTTCAGAACACTGAAATGTAAATTTACAGTCGATATAAAGACATTTGATTTCATTGAATGATAAATAAAATAAGAATTCCTAGGGCAACTGTATTTTCATTTTTTTCCTGAATATTTGGCATCAGTAATATGAACGTAGAAATAATATTCCCAGAAAAATAGGTATTTTCTCAAAATTAGTCTTTTTTTGAAGGATAATGGTTTCTAGCCAGATTTCAATGAAAAGGGAATTATAGGTTATCCACGAATTGATTTTTCATGTGAAAAAAAGAGTGACCCTTTAACGGGATTGAGTTACATAACAATGAAAAAAGCTTTTTTGACTTTATACTTTTCTATCTTTAGGTATATGTGGAAAATTTTCGAAAAATGAAAGCAATTAAGTTCAAAATAATCTCTTTACAATGATGTGTAGATCATGCGTAGAAGACACATCATTGTGAAGAATTTATTTTGAACTTAATTGCTTTTTTTCTTCGAAAGTTTTCCACAACTTTTGTATGGAGATAGAGGAGTAGAAAGCCAAAGAGCTTTTTTTCATAAAACTTATCTCTCCTAAAAACTTGTTCTATCTCAATTTATATATCAAGCAATTTCTATGGCAAGAATTAACAGAAAACGCGAGTATTAGGTAATCCATAAGAACGCAATAAAAACTCATTGCATACTTCTTTCTAATACGATAAATATCATTAAAAATATTCCTCGCATCTAGCACCTATTTCTTAAGTTCTGGGTCATATTCGTTGCTTGCCCTTACTGGTAATTCAGTCTCAACATTTTTACAAACGTGTAATTACGTGTTATCATTCACCATTACCTAGAAAAATTTCGACTCGTACGAGTACGACCAAGTTGACGTACAGTACGACCAAGTTGACATACTTTTCTTTTATGAGTAGGTATTAGACAAGTTTACAGGTCAATGAACTGTGACTTATATAAAAAAAAATTGATCTAATGGAAAAACGAATAAATAAACTTTGATGGCAATCTATCCGGTTTCATTTTGGAAAACATTTAAAACCTGAACAATTATTTTCATTGATTTTTGCAACAATCCCAATACCAAATATTTTCGGTTGCTTTTTGGAAATTGTAGAGAAAAGAGCCAATCGGAGCGAATGTAAAGTTCTCCGTTGGAAAATTATAACATCAGCAGTAAAAATTAGAAAGAAACTGTTGAACTGAGATAGAAACACATTTTTTGGAGGATCAGTTTCGTTAAAATAATTGGGTTGGAAACTGTGCTCCACAATGAAGTGAAAATGGTATAGGATTTCAATACAGAATTTTAAAACCATAATTTCAAATTAATATTTTATTATAACATGATATTAACAAAGAATATTGAAAGCTTGGAACACTGTTTTGAACCAGAAAACTGTACACACCTCAGGAACTTTTGATGCTTCATATAGCTCAGGTAAGACCTTCTTTGAAGTATTGTTTTTATGTATGGAGCTCTGCCCCCAAAAATACCCTGAAGTTGCTGGATTCCATCCAGAAAAGAGCCATCCGCCTGATTGGAGACGCGAACATCACGTGGAACCTTAATAGCCTGGAACATCGGAGTAAGGTTGGAGATTTGTCTGTTTTCTAAACATACTTTAACGGGAAGTTTTCAAGTGACTTGGCATATTTGATTCCACCAAGAGCGGTACATATCAGAAATACGCGACGGACTGTGGCTGCTCATCGTTTTGAGGTTCAACTCAGTAAACCTCGAACTTCACTGTTTAAGAACTCTTTCATTTGGAGAACTGCGTTTATGTGGGAAAAACTTCCTGAGAATGTTTTTCCAAATGGATATTATCTCCAGCGGTTCAAATCCAGTGTGAATCGCTGCTTTCGCACAGGCACCGCTCTGAGAGTGTCTTAAGGATTTTCCTGTAGTGTTTGTGTTTAGTCCTTAGAAAAAAAATTTTCTCTGAATTCAAACCACTAGCTATATAGTTTATCATAAAAACAATATGGCGTTACTCTCCTTGTGAATTCTACGACAAAATACAGTAACGACTGTGGGATCTGTTGATGGATGGTACACTTGTAAATCGTCTGATTCTTATAATTACTGAAAAATACAATTCGAAAATTCTGATTCTTCACTATCAATCTACTATTATTCCAGTAGTTTAGTCAACCCGCTATAGTTACCGATAACAACTACTAAACTATCACACATATTCCACGAGACTACCCTACTTCTTCGCTATTTGCTATGGCTTCACGTCCCACTAAAACTGGTTGAAACAGGCAACTTCATTATAACTTATATGGTTATGAAATTGTATCAAAAAGGGTTTTCGTACATTCGTCATTACTTTTAGTATCTTCCACCTTTTTTCGAATAGTTCATGCGTCCCATCACTACAAATCCAAACAAATTTGATACATAGTTACAAACAATTTTGTTACGAGAAAGATAATCGTTTGGACCTACATAACTGGGAGTGCCAATAATATCTATGTCAACTTATTAAATTTCACTTGATGACTATTTTCAATTTCGATCGATTATATTGGCAAATTTATGTTCCAATACATCAATAAGGCAGAGGAGTCCCAACTGAATCTTCACTATTTTTTATTTCTAACTATTTTTTGGAAGTCCCATGAATGTTGTTGTTATAGGTATGCCATAAAATATGCCATTAACAGCTCAACAATAGGCGTCTAAAAACTGCATAAGTGTTTTCATTATTTCGAAAACTATGTTAATCTTCAACGAACGGTTTTCAAAATTGGTTTTGTTCCCTTTTACAAAAAAGTTACCTAATGAATATATTTGGTTGCAGCGACAAAACCTGAAAAACTTGAAACGTTCAATGAAGGCAAAAACGAATATCCGTTCAAACCAGCTGGAGAGGCCGATGTTCTTGCAGCTGCAGACAAAAATCCACAGTTCATCAATACTAACGCCCTCAGGCCTGGTCACCGTTTCTTCATTCTGAATGGAAACGACTTATTTCAAAATTACCCCAATGTCCCGAACTACCCAGGGGAGGCCAATGTCGGTTTGAAATATGCTCAGCAACCTGACTCTCAATACCAACAACCAGAGGTTTTTCAGAAGCAACAGCTACCACTCGACATCAATTCCCTCCTCGTCCAAACTCTACTTGTAAGACCTTCTACAGGTGAAACTATTCCCAACTCAGATTTGAATCCTGAACAAAGATTCCACCCTAGCCCCGAAGAACAATTTCCTCCTATTTTCAATCCACCGAATCCACAAATCCCACAAGATGTTTTCTTCAGATCGAGCTTACAACAAAATGATGCTTTTGGACAAGAAGGTGCAATACCAGTTGGACAGTTCAGATTTACTCCACCCAACGGACCCTACTATCCCCTCGATGGGGAGGATATTGAGAATGATTCTATAATAGTTGACGCCAAAATCGAAGACGGTTCAATGGGTGAGAATGGTGCTGACAATGTACAAACAGAAGGTGAGTCTCAAAACCTCTTTTAGTTGATTTTATGGTTCATTAGACAGTATGTGCTAGTTTGAATACCAACATTCCCTTTGGTTTTTAAAGTATTTTTATGTAATTTTCCAATCACGTAGTTTCCATATTAATTATTCTACTTTACTTTATTAATTACAATTTTATCAACACGTCTGATGCGTCTTAGGAGTTTTGACAATACTCATATGTAGTTCTAGGTTGAATGTAAGAAATGCTTAGATTAACATTTATCCACAAAAATTACCCATTGAAATCTTTGGAACAGCGATGTTCCCAATACAACTATACTTTCAAATCCACATGTTATTGATATTTTGTCGTTTGTCCTATACAAAAATTCATTCCCTTTGGATGTTCTTCAGTGACATGAAAGTGACTACAACATTTGTCTCTAACAGGTCCTCGTCCAGACAAATCGGAGGAACCAGGTATGGCTCAAGCATCTCCTGGAGCTATAGCCTTAGCGGGTCCCGGAGGAGTAGCAGGAGCATCCCCAAGAGCGACCTCAATAGTGGGAAAAGGAGGAGTCGCAGTATCAAATCCACAAGCTACCGCTGTTGCTGGAACAAAGAAAGAAGCTGATAAAGATGAAAAAGATAAGAAACTGCAGAGAAAATTCAACAAGTGAGAGGTTACGTTGGGGTCAGTTGATGGACTATAGACGGTTAATCACTGTTCTTACATAGAACAAGTTTTATGGGAAATTATAAGTTTTGTTTCTTAAAATGGTATCAATCATGGTGCTACATACAGAGAAAACGTTTTTGTTTCAATAACTTGTTTAATAGCTATGTGATTGAAGTAGATGTTCAGAAATGTATTTTCTAGGAGCGCTCAGGTGTATGTAGGATACTGAAACTACTCACAAATGTTTGTATTGGTTAATTCCATATCATCCAATCTTCTTTATTGTGATGAGTTTTACAGAACATAAAAACAAGAAAATATGTGTTATATTAGGTACTCCACTGGATATTTAAAATTTCTCTTTATCAGATCGTTTCAGTAAGCTATTGTTTAGCGAAACTGGTGCTATGCTTTTGCAAATCTTTTGTACTAAAAACTTCAATAAACTATAAGTACGTTTTGAAAAGATATGTAAACATAAACTTATTGTTTGAATAGTTTTTGAACAAAATAATTACTAACAAGAGGTTAAAATGCAGGATAGGAACTTTTTTTAACACTTTTATATTGTTAAGATTGAGGTTGGGGAGAATTCTTGCAAGGCAACCTATGAATTTCACTTAATTTACGAAANCCAACCCCGAAAAATAAATAGTTTTGACGCTAGGAGTCGTTAAAATCACCCCTTTCTCAGAATAGACTATTTATTTTCAAAACCAGGAACGACATTTTCACATGTTTCATTGTAGGTAATGTTGCATATGATTATGCTCTTTTATAAAAAAAATTCTTCAACCCTCTCTTCCCCCCACCACTTATTATGAAACACAAATGCATAGTCGGATGTTTGAATATGCTTGAATTTCGGAAATAGCACTTTTTCATGACTTTCTCCCCTTCCCCGAGGGAAAAAAAACAAAAAAAGCTGAATTTTTCAGAACTTTTAATATGATGCTGTTCATGTTATTGTGAATAGAAAATAACTAGGCAATGAACTCACATGCTAGGGGGCGTTAAAGCCATATCTTGCTCAGAAAAGACTATTTATTATAGGCGGGATCGATATTTGTACTTGTTTGATTTTAGATTACGATGAATCACATTGTAATCTTTCATAAGTAGAATTCTAAAACCTCAGGCTAACCCACAACCCTTATTTCAAAACACTAATAAAATAATTCTTGACTATTTCTAAAAGCGTAGTCAAAATTAATGTTTTGTTCAGCTCAGATCAGTGAAATTACACTCGTTCATTTATACCCCACCCTCAAAAAAATGAGGGTGGATGACGCGTTTTTTTTGGTATGAGATGAAGGATATCTTTTATAGAGAGGTAATGAGCTTCAAAACCTCAAAACTCAAGACCTACTGTGAGACTACACTGATTCTCCGATGTCAGGGCTTCTCACTAAAACCTCCACCTTTATGTAGGCTCGTCGGGCTATTTCCCCCAGAGACACTTAGGCCTTGCCGCCTATATTATGTACTGTCTCAGTCCCCAATCCAGTACTTCCGCGTCTTGTAAGACTTTGTACAAGTTCAAACATCAATAATTTGAATTTGTGGTGATCAGGGCCGTCACCCCTGCTTTTACGACTTGTGAAAAAGTTGGGAAATATAAGAAAAGGGAAAGAACCGGGAGAAGGTTGGGATTTCCCAGAATCCATAACTTGGAGATCCCATACTTTGAAATCCTGACTTGTTTGAAAACTTCAAAAAAGTTTTCGCTGTTTTTTCGACTTGAAAAAGTTGGGAAATTTCGGGCCGTGAAGATAATAGAAGAAAACAATAAACACAATATTATTTAATTGTTGTTTCCTTTCATTTGTATTGAATATTCCTATACATGGCGGATATGGTAGAAGACCAAGGACCTTGATCCAAAGTAGAATAATTCCCATTATTAGTTTTATAATTACCAAAATTTATTTTCGTTTATGCATACCCTAACGGGCATAACCATTCAGCCAATCTTTAGATAGCTATTTAAATTAATATATTGCAGTAGTAACAAATCCCTCGGCTTTCATTTTTTCGAATGTTGGGAAATTTTACTGGTTGAGCTGGGAAAATTTGGATTTCCTCCCCCGCCTGGTATTTTTTTTCGCTTCGGCCCTGGCGGTGATGCTTGATTTGGATCCTGTTGCCGGCATCCATTACTACATTAAATAGCGTCGTCCATGGGTATCTGACATTCGGTTTATGGCGTGCAAAGCCCAAGAACCAAATCACACTTGCCACATATGCAAAGCCCAAAGTTCTTGTCCCCGTGTTAAGTGTAGTTATTGCAATCGACTATCGCGCCAGAAAGGTTTTTGCATCGTATGACTTGGGGAGACATCATTCATATTGTTACTTATTGTTTTAAAAAAAATATGGGTTTTTCAGTCGTTATTACTTATGGGAAAAGTTAGTCATATGCAGATCGTTGTTGCGATCAGAAATTGTTAGTTTTGTTTAATTTGGTGAATATATTTTAATAGAAACTCGCTGTTTTGTTTTGAAAAAATAGTTTACGTATCGTGTTTACATTATATCCTAAAATTGTCGTATTATCCTCTTCATCTTGCATGTTGGGTTAAAAGCAATCAAAAGTTGATGTTTGAAGAGCCTGGTATACCCTGAGTAACGCGCATTCTAATAAACCCATTCCCATTGAAATGTTCATCTACGTGAATACTTTCACCCTCATCTATCTGAAACTTGTCTTGAATGTAGGATGGAGCCAACCCAACTTGATCACACCTAAAATCATCGGTGCGAATTAAAAAGATACCAGAAATTGAAAATCCAGTTTGAGTCATCATTACAAAGAAGCAAATCTACCCTACAGTCAATCGTTTTAAAAATTCCAAAATAAGTCGAGGAAATTGCGGCAAATGATAGTGACTTGAATGTAAGGCATTTTTTCTCATTAGTCCCTCAAATTCTACCCTTGCTTGAACTTCATTCACTTCTTGTTCTTGGATGATCCATATGTTCAGCCATTTATTCATTGGCATCTTGCATCGAAATAGGCCCATGATATCTGTAAGATATGTTTTACGTAACAAATGAATGGCCGCCACCCCAAACAACATCTATGGTAATGGTTACACAGCTTCAGTACATGGTTGATAATTATGGTGTTTCAGGAATGTGTTTCTGTAAGTTTTAATGTTAATGTAACTGAGCAAGATATACCGAAAAACAATTACCATAATCGTATTGATAACGTGAGTTGAACTTTATACGAGGTATTTGTTACTACATCGTTACGTATTTGTTATGTAATGATGTGAAAATGTGCATGTGAGTAATGATAACGTAAAGGTTACGTAATTGTAATTGTCTCCAGCTGTCCTAAAAAAGTCGCCTATATGGTACAGCATGTTGCAGAGGAATAGTGTCAGCATTAAACCTAAACACCAATTTTAGGTGACTATTACGAGCTCCCACTATCCACCTGGTTTTGATTATTAACCAGGATGCATTAGCTTCTGTCGTTGTGAATTGGTGCTGATCATATCTCAAAAGTGGAGGCATTATACATAAAAACCTGCGTGATCTCTTTCATATTCATTCTTTAGTAATTGTGCATCATTTGTTACGGTTGTAGTAGTTTATAATTTTAGCTTTACTGACTATTCCTAATACAATTACTTATGAAATTGTCGAACAGGAAAATAAAGGATTTGATTTGATTTGACGTAACAAATGATGGCCACCACCCCAAACAGCATCTATGGTTATGGTTACACAGCTTCAGTGCATGGTTGATAATTTTGGTGTTTCAGGAATGTGTTTCTGTAAGTTTTAATGTTAATGGAACTGAGCAAGATATACCAAAAAACAATTACCATAATCGTATTGATAACGTGAGTTGAACTTTATGCGAGGTATTTGTTACTACATCGTTACGTATTTGTTATGTAATGATGTGAAAATGTGCATGTAATTTATGATAACGTAATAGTTACGTAATTGTAATTGTCTCCAGCTGTCCTGAAAAAGTCGCCTATATGGTACAGCATGTTGCAGAGGAATAGTGTCAGCCATAAACCTAAACACCGATTTTAGGTGACTATTACGAGCTTCCACTATCCACCTGGTTTTGGTTATTAACCAGGATGCATTAGCTTCTTTCGTTGTGGATTGGCGCTGATCATATCTCAAAAGTGGAGGCATTATACATAAAAACCTGCGTGATCTCTTTCATATTCATTCTTTAGTAATTGTGCATCATTTGTTACGGCTGTCCGAAAAGTATGGTCCTTGTATATCCTACCATTAAAACCGGTTTCAATACATGTCTTCCTTTGTGTGTGCTATACGACTGCCTCAGAACTCTAAAATTGCTGCACTTCGGAATAAACGCATAAGTAGAATCAGCGTAAACAATTGCTTCCCGAAAAATTGAAGATCGGAAAAGTTGTACCTGTCCACAAAAAATCGGATCCATACCTTTTAAAGAACTATAGGCCCATCACTGTTTTCATTGAGAGGTATAACATTATCTCCCCGATTCAACATGGTTTTCGATCCAATATGTCCACTATTACTGCTGTGACAGCTTTTTACTCAAAAATCTTGGAGTACATCGAGGCTGGTGAATGCCCTGCTGGAATATTTTGTGATCTCAGTAGGGCATTCGACTGCGTTGACCACACAATATCATTAAATAAATTATATTCATATGGAATAAGAGGAAATGCCCTTGACTGGTTAGAGTATCTCACCAGAAACAGGAGTCAATTTGTTTCGATGAATCATAGATCTGAAAACAGTCATCATAAATGTATTTCAAATACTCAAGTTTTGGCCATTGGAGTACCTCAAGGATCAGTGTTGGGACCGTTATTATTTATATTATACTGTAATGATGTTGGGGCCGCGGGGCCGCGTTTGCTGACAATACGTGCGTTATGAATGCAGATGACACATCACTTCTGATTTCGGACAAAGACGACACAATTTTGAAAGAAAATTGTAACACGGTGTCAAATCATTTGGTTTCATGGTGTGCCGCCAACTCACTTCATTTCAATTTTCGAAAAACTTTATTAGTACGGTTTCATCACAAGCAAAAAATCTGTTCAGATCTAGAAATTAAAATCAATGAGAATGAAAACACACTTCCTTTATCCGATGAATGGAAATGTTTGGGACTTGCGCTAGATAATTGTCTGAACTAGAAGAGTTATTGTAATAAACTGATATTAAAAGTAAGTTCTGTTTCGTATCTGATACGAAATCTTAAGCCGATATTAACCACTGAACAGTTAGTAAATCATTATTATGCACATATAAAATCTAGTATCTGATATGACATTTGTCTTTGGGGAAGCTCTTCATTGGCTCCAAATGTATTTATTGCCCAAAAAAAGATTATACGCATTTTAGCAGAGGTTAATCAGAGAACCTCCTGCAGAGATTTATACAAACATTTGAAAATTTTACCTTTCCCGGATATTTCCATTTTTGAAATGGGTGTATTCATTCACACCAAAAGGTCGAAATATGATCGCATTTCATCGCATGTAAATACAAGAAAGTGCAATAATTTTTACATAAATCTCGTCAAATAGGTATAATATAACCGTTAACTCACCTTCTTACTTGGGGCTAAAACTTTATAACAAACTGCT